CTGCAGACAAGGGATTCTGATCAGAAGATTCGGGCTCCTAGCAACCTTACAGGACAGAGCAGAATTGCCCCATAGGGTTTCCCAGGCTGCAAATCTCAATGACGTTTTTCTCCTACAAAGCAGCTGATGGGTTTGAACGGTACACCTTTTGGTTAGCAGCTGACTACTTTAACCAGAGCTTCTTACCAGTATCACAGTGCTAGTTAATTAATGAACCAGAGAGGCTTCGGGATTCTTTTTGATTTGCCCTTCCCCCACCTCTTCAGGCACATCCCTAAGGCTCTTTTGACTTCTTGTTCTTAGCTCGACCCGCGATTAAACGTCCGTGCAACAACTGAGGTGCTTCCTCTGTCATCCCTGCTTTAACCTTGCCTCTGACTCCCAGCCCCAACTCCCGTTGAAAATGCTGTCATGACAAATGAGAGCCGCGAGAGGCATCAAGCTCATAATGTCCTGCAGGAGAATCAACTTGATCTTAAAAAGCCCAGAGGGAGTTTCCTACTAGCAGGGCTTGCAAGGTAATTGAGTGGCTTCACTGTTAGCAGGGTCTAGGCCACATTTGGGGGTCACTTCCCTAGCCCCCAGCCTACCAACCTTCAAAAGGAACATGGGAAAAGAGGCCTCTGGGTAATCCTGGGAAAGATTCCAAAGTAAACACTGCTTAGCACTGCTTTAGCTCTGGCTCCCCGCAGCAACTCTTCACAGGACAAATAATAATGGATTTTCAGCAGGGGACGTGTGATGCTGACTTCCTTCCCAGGGACACAGTCCCTACTGGGTTGAGGGCGCGACACACCTCATACCTCGGCTTCTGCAGGGCTGCCTCCAATGTCTTCCATCTTCATTTATTATAAACACAAGATGTGTTTCTGTGTTGTTTCACCATAGCCTTCACTGGCATCTATAGCCTTCCCATGCCAAATCTACAGTCTTGATCACTGGCCCCAATCTAGGTTAATTCTAAAACATACGTCGGAAGCATCCATTGCCACTGAGCTCAAGTCTATACAGATTCAAGAAAATAGCATGCTCTGAAATAATGAGGGATACAAAGCTATAGAACATCTGGAATAATACAAAGCTATAGAACATCTCTAAACTGGGTAGAACCCAGCACAAAAATGTATGATATTCATGCAAAATAATTTTTCTACCAATTGAAACATGTGATAATAATCTATATTTTTCCCCCTTCCGAATTCTTCTAAATGCTTAGTTTCCTAGGGCAATTGTCCTGCTACCTTTTCAATCATGTAGATGTCCACAAGAGGTCAAACTTTCAGCTATCAACAGGTAAGTGTAGAAGGTACTTCTCAGACAATTGAGTAGATTTTATCAAGGAAGGTCTGGATTCATCAAGCTCACCTTTGGGGTGGATGCCCAGACGCATGAGCTCCATTCTGACCAAACTGATGGGTTCCAGGAGGTGGGGGGCCTGGAGGCAGCATCCCCCCAGGAGTAGCAGCTCCCAAGGGCCCTGATGGCTTCATCATATCTGCAACAAAAGGGCACATATTTAGAAGAGTATGGCACTGACCTGTAAAAAGAAAGAAACCGAGGTTAAAAAAATAAACTAGACGGTGTTAAGACGAAGTCTCCCTCTGAACTTGCTTGAACTACTAACTGCAGACCTGGCAATGAGGCCTTTGGCTCACAGTTAGAATCCTTGCCTTCCAAGAAGAAGACCTGGTTTGGCAATGAGCCGTAAGCATAGCTACCACCCACCTATCGGTGGGGGCCCCATGGTGCTATCACGTTAGACAGATTTCCGTGGAGCTTCCAGAAAAGAAAACTAGGAAGAAAGGCCTGCTGATCTTCATCTGAAAAGTCAGCTAATTAAACTTTATGGAGCACAATGATATAATCGGAAACTGACCATGTGCATGGCACAGGACCGAGAATCGCTTCCTTCCGCTGTGCCTGGGGCCATGAGGAGTCAGGGCTAACTCGACACCATGGAGCTACCTGCCCGTGGCTTTGGGCATCACCATTTGGCTACCATAATGATAAGAGAGCAGGGGAAAGGACTATTTTTAACACTAAACAGAAATTAAAACAAGGAAAAAGCTTCACATCTGGTATGATGTGATACGAAACATGAAAGGATCCAGAAAAAAAACACTGAGTTGGATACTGGGAAAAACATCTGGAAAAAGAGAATCAGAAAGGAAAGAGTATCCCAACACCAACTATGGAAAATAAGCCCGCAAAACAAAAGAGCCTTCGAAACAGTCTATTGTCACTGAAGCTCAAGCAATGGAAACGAAGAGCAGTAACTGGACCTTTAACAAATGAAAAGCACCTCCTTTGGAAGTTGATAATTTATTTCTCCAGGGTCCCAAACAGTTGAAGGACAAGCATTTGAGGGACTGCTCAAGTCCTCAAACAAAATGCAGCATCACATACAATTAGTACATGCTCCCAGCAGCCAGTGTGTTTTCACTTATAAGGAGCTCTTCTCAAATAGACTGCCAACACTTCGCTTGAAGATTGCTTTCGGTCATTAATAGTTTTCTTCTTCTAGCGACGGCATAGGCTAGCTGGCAGTGGGTTTGGTTCTGGTTTGAGAGAAACGGTGGTGTAGGAGGACAATCTTTGGGCTTGGCTTGGAGCAGTTCGACTCCTGCTTTTTTTTACTAGGAATCACAGGACGCTGAGCAAGAACTTTGGGGACTTAAGCTTCCTCTGATAAAAAAGGCTTAATTACTTAACTTGTGATACTTTAAAAAAAAAATAGGCATGATTCTTCTATTTGTTGTCTCTACTCCAGTTCCATTTACCTAGTTTGTGACCCCAGCTGCTGCTGCCACCTCCTTCTCCCCCTCCTATAGCATGGTCGTCCCTGACCTCCTAACTGCCTCCTGCAAATGGCCCCATCTGACTTCAGGACAGCATTGCACATTCAACATCTCCTTTCTTCTGTTCTCTTCCTCTGCTGTTAGGCTCTCAAGTGGATTCCTACTCAGAGTAACTATATGTTCAACTGACCAGCACACTGTCAGGTCCCGCACCGTTCTCCGCTCCGTGATTGTACTTGAGCCCATGGTTGCAGCCCTCTCCAGTCAGCTCACGGGGGTGGGGGGGCTGGGGGCGGGGGGTCTTCCTCTTCTTCAGTGACATCGGCTTTACCAGGCATGAGGTCTTTCTCCAGGAGAGGATGTCACGGAGTCCGTGTGTGCAAGGAGCATTCTGCGGTACTTCCGTTCTCCTGGCAGTCCATGGTAAATTCAAGATACTTTTCCAACACCATAATTCAAAGACATCACATCTTTTTGGGTCTTCCTTCTTCAGTGTCTACTTTTCACACGCATATGAAAAGACCACTGCTCGGATCAGGCACATTTCTGTCCTCAGAGTGACATCGGTGCTTTTAAGTGTCATAAAGAGGTCTACTGTGGCAGTATTTCCCTCTGCAACAGGACGTCTGCTTTTTCAACTGCTGCTTCCATACGCACTGATTGAGGATCCAAGTAAAACAAAATCCTTGACAATTTTGATATTTTCCACTTATCTTCCTCTAGACAGTCTCATTCCTCCCAAATAGCAAGTGAGCTGACTAGACAATGCTGTGATCATCCATAAGGAGTTTATTAGCCTGTCATCATAATTCTTGGGAGAGAATGCTTTCAGATGCTTGGGCATTGTAAAATGGTCTGTAATTAGTGAAGTGGCAACTTTCAGGAATAATATTATTGAAATTTTTACAAAGCTTTCTTCCCTTACAATGGGATTCCCTATGTTTAGGAAATTACTTGAATTGACTCTGCATTGTCCTGTTTAGTAACGTTTCATATGCTAAGGCCAAAAATAATAGAAAGCTGTTAGTGGCATGGTCCTGTAGTTCGAACATTCTGTTGGGTCACCTTTCTGTGAAATGGTTGTTGTATGGTGGTGGCTTGTGTGTTGCTGTGATGCTGGAAGCTATGTCACTGGTATTGCAAATGGCAGCAGGGTCACGCAGAATGAACAGGTTTCAGTGGAGCTTCTAGACTAAGAGCAGACAATGAAGGACACAGCTCCCCACTTGGGAGGAAGGAGCCACTAAAAACCTTAGGCACCCACTGATCACAGACACATTTTCACACATTTTGTTTGAAACAAACCCATGCATGCACAAACTGGAATCCTAGTGGCAATACTTTCTGAGTCACTCTCATTTATTATTTATTGCACAACAAATACAATTGCGATAAACATACAAGTTGGTTTGGGGGACAGATAGAAACTAAGAGTAGATGTTAGTAAGTCAGAGTATGTAGATATAAAAACCACCCTGATCAGGTTTCACACCCTTAGCACTATTGGCATTTGGGACCAGACAAGCATTTGTTGTGAGGAGGGCCGGGGGCCGGGGGTAATCATTGTGCAATGTAAGATGTTTCCCAGGATTCATGGCCTCTACCCACTAGATGCTAAAGACAACCAGCAATGTTTTGAAACATGTCTCTTGGGGACAAACTGCTCTACATAAAACTTTCATATATAAGAAATTAAAAATATTTTAATTTCTTGAGTAAATTAAAATTGATTTTCCTCAACAACCCTCACATATCTATGGGAACAGAATCAGAAAACTGGGCATAGCTGTAAGACACAAATCTTACTAAAACGTGTACTTTGTATTTTTGGAGACTAACTCCATAGCAATGATTCAACCTCAAGCATTTATTCGACACACATTTAACATGGTTTTCAGGCACTAAAAGCTCCTGTGGACGAGACAACCATGTAAACAAATAATTACTGTGCAGTGTGTTGTAGCTGTAAGATGCATAGGGACTACCTAACTCTTCCCAGGGGAACCAACAAGCGTTCCAAGAGGAACAGCCTCTGTGAGCTGACCTTGAAGGGCCAACAGGAGTGCTTTTAGGCAGATGCGGAGATTCCAGCAAGAAGGAAAAGTCTGAACAGAGACTTGAGACAGTGTGGCGTGATCAAGGGCTGGCAAGAGGTTCAGCGTGGAACCACTGTCTGGGAAAGTGGCCAGAGCGGAGGTCGTCCCTGCTGTTGGAGTTGGACAGCAAAGGCCTGTGTGTCATTTGGACTCTATTCCCAGGGCAAAGGGGAGTCAGTATCATTGTTATCTGCACAGTCAGAGCCTCCTCTTGGTCACAAGACTGGCATTTAAAAAAGTGAACAGAGAGAAAAAGAATTAAGGTCTATAGCAGTGGTTCTCAACCTTCCTAATGCTGCGACCCTTTAATACAGTTCCTCATGTTGCAGTGACGCCCCAACCATAAAAATTATTTTTGTTGCTACTTCATCACTGTCATTTTGCGACCATTATGAATCGGGCGACCTCTGTGAAAGGTCGTTCTACCCCCAAAGGGGTCGTGACCCACAGGTTGAGAGCCGCTGGTGCATAGGGACCACTGTGAGTATTTTAGTAGGGAAGGGGCACCACATTGTGAGAAAGAACGAAGTATTACTATCTGAAGCCACAAGTTGGCATTTAATACACTGGCAGAGGCTGTAGACGCTCTTCACCATCACCACCGATGACGTTAATTGAACTCATTGTGACTCCATGTGGGCTACAGGGTGGCCATGGCTGTGACCTTGCAGAAGCACACAACAAGGCCCTTCTTCCAAGGTGGCTCTTGCTGGACCTGAACTGCTAACCTTCCACTTGGAAGCTTTTACAGCAATGGAGAGCTCCCCGAGGCCAGCTTGCTGGGAGCCGCTGAGTCGATTTCAACTCATGGCAAACCCATGTGACAAGAGCAGAATTGCCCCACCGGACTTTCTAGGCTGTCATCTGACCCAAAGCCTCACCACAGAAAAGCATACCTTGAATTTGCTATTCAATCTGGTCAACCAAAACCATAATTAAATAACCATTTGTGGGGAAAGAAAATGTTTATCTAAAATAAACAAAGATACGCTCTGAATGGCGTGTATAAGTAGCCTCTCCATCCCCCACAGTCCCTCCCCTAGTTCTAGAACACAAGTCCTTCTGGTCTCTCAGCTTCCACAACAGCTGGCAATGTCTGGGACATTTTGCTTTACCCCAACTGGAGACAAGGTATGTGACTAGCCTCTAGTAGGCAGAAGCTAAGAATGGTCCTCAATATACTACAGCGTCCCAGGCAACAAAGAAGGATCTGGTTCCAAAGGCCAACAGTGCTGAAGTTGAGAAGCCTTGCTCTAGACAGCAGAGTGCTTAGCCCTGGTCCCTGTAGCTCGTCCTAAAACGCACATCTTGATCATGCCCCTCCCAGGTAAAAAGGCTTCATTGGCACCCTAACACGAAAAAGCCACGTCAGTTGCTGTGAATCAATTTCAGCTCAGGGTAAGCCCATGTGTTTCAGAGCTGACTATCTTCACCACCACCGGATGCTGTGACGTTACCTGAACTCACTGTGATTCCAATTACTTCAGCAGAGAACTGAGGGCTACAGGGTTTGCCTGGCTGGGCCCTTTCAGAAGCATATCGCAAGACCTTTCTTCCATGGGCGGGCTGGAGCCATCACCTTTTGGCTGGCAGCTCAGCAC